CTAACTAAAACTAGATTTCAAAATAGATATAAAGCTATTCCATGAACAAAACCCACCAATATCACTTTCGCAGTTATCAATTTCCATTGTTATTACTCTTGGAGGATTATGTTCTGATAAAACATCTCCATTTCTTAGCTGCTCCTTAGTTTGGTAAACATATTCAATTTTTAGTAAATCTTCATTAGTGTTTGTATCGTGCCATCTTTGAAAAACAAGTTTCCCACCGATGGGCGTGAGTTCATATTGGTCTGGCAACACATACGGCTTAAAACCTATTGCCGCCATAACTGAATTCAAGTTTGAATCATGTCCAACAAGCAATGTAAAGTTGGGCGATTTTTTATTTAAAATATTATAAATGTATTTTAATAATGGTTTCGCTACTTCTTTAGCTAATACAGTACTGTTAAATCTGACTTCCTGGTTTCCTCTTGTTATACGTGAGAATAATTTCCACTCTTCTGAAGTTCTCATGTTGCCCCAAGCAACATCTGTAATATTCATACCTTCGTAGTAGCTCATAATAAATGCGTCCACTATAGAATTCGTTAATCCCAAAGGTCCATTCACGTTTGGCTCTTTCCCTATTTCGTAAAAAACGTCATCTTTGGCTCTCTCAAAATCGCAAATTTTATCAACTTCGCATATCATGGCATGCTTTATATCCACAACATCATTTAACCTCGAGTATGGCTCATTCAAATTTAGACTACGTAGTTTTTGTTCCATTTCATTTATTATTGCAGACTTTAATTGCTTAGAATCATTTCGTATTATGGGATTGAAAATTGGATCCATTTTATTGGAAATCTTGCTGTATACAGTTATGTTACAGTTTTTAAATGCACTGTCTACAAATGCTTTTGCAGTTGCCTTTGTTCTCTGCCTCGTGTTAGCGTAAACATGCACAGTGTTTTGTTCAGGACATCCTGCTGGTAGCAAACCTTTTTCACTAACCAATTCGATATAAAACTTCCCATGTAACCTTCAAGCAATGCACCTTTAGCAGTTAAAAATGCGGAATCCACGTTCCATATCGGCCACGTGTTACTCGAGAGATATTGTAAATTTGATGAGAGTGGCGCTCTTATATTATGTCGACTTAAAATAAGAACTTGTTTTAGATCGTAACTTTTTGAAAATGTAACGAAGACAAGAAATAAAAACGATGAAATTTTTACCATTTTGAACATATAATTTTTACACAATTGTCGCACAATGTCAAAGAGTTTTTGTAAGATATATCATTAAACACGTATTTCTTGTTGCACTGTGCGTAAAAAGTGATCAAACGTCTGTTGTTATCACTGCTACAAACTTAATCGTATTAAGTATTACAACGCTACTATTTGAAAAATAAATCACGAAAACAATTTTGATGTTATCACGTATTAGGCTCGTTTCGGACTGGAAAGAGGAGAGTATTTTCTTTACGAGTGAAAGTAAATCAAGTTTTGTTGATAGTATGTTAAACTCGACGCTGAGAAAGTTTAAAAATAGAATTGAAAATATTTAATAAAACCAATACGTGGTCAGAACAAAGACTAATGTACGTTTTTGTGAAATTTAATTTAGTAAATTTAATATTTGTAACATGACCTTACCATACATGTTGCATGCAGCACCATGGCACTGCAAAAATAATTGTCACTAGGCCCCTAAATAAATTCTTAAGTTTTTTATTGACTTTTTAACATTATATCCACATTCTCGAGCTTCCATCATAAGCGATTTTAGGATGCCAAGCCAAAAAAATCTATTGTGTTTCTAACTTCTTAAGGAAAATTAATATGTTGATCAAGTATAATGATAAGAAAAACACTATGCTGTGTAGGTATATGTCGCATTTTACACTAAAATGTTAGTTTAAATTGCCCCTTATAATCTATGACTCGCGAAACTAATTGTTGTTGTTAATAAAGCCAATGACCGGTACATATTCATATTAATATAGATAACCCGTGGGTATATTATATTATCTTTTATATCTCATATCTCATTTATATTATACTCAGTCGTTATATAAGGCGTTTTCTCAGTTTAAGGAATAAGGTCGAACGTTCGCCTGATAGTGATAAAGGTTCAATTTAACTAGGTCATTTAAAAAAGTAACATTATACAATAATCATTAGACATTATTGTTAGACATCCTCATAATTTTTTGAAGTGAAACTTCTTTGGCGCATGAGGTAAAATTTTTACGGATGAAACGCAATAATAATAATAAATATTAGCGTAGAGAGTCAGAATGGCGAATTACTGAAAATGAATTAGAATTTATGAAATATTAGTATTTTATATTTTATGCAAAATAATTTATTGCAATCTCAAATTACGAATTAAAATGCCACGTGTTTTTATTATCAATGAAAAAAATTTATAATTTGTATTAACTTTCGACACTTAATATTTTAATGACACTTAAATTCATTAAATTCCTAACCTATCTTCCTTTTCCGCTCCCTCTAAGTCTCGGATATCTAAAATTTTAGATTTATATAAATATGAACAAGAGTTAAAAATTAGTTTGTCAAAAAAGTTTCACTTCTGTCATATGTACCTACTTTGTACGCACGCACTTTTTTTTTTAAATTAATTTGACTCTAATATTTAACGCCTACTAAATGTTTCTTATCATCACAAGCGGGCTAGTCTTTTTGCTGTATATTGTACATGGGAATACATTATTTTAAATTTATTATTTTTTGAGAAATTCAGCGTCAAATTACCTATAAATATATTAAACAATCAAAAACCCTGCCGTTGAAAACAAATATATTTTTAAGCTTTCATATAATTATTTTAACTTTTTTTTACCTACTTAGTCTGGCAACATAAAAATTATGTCAGCTGTCAAGCGGTTGTTGACTCCGACGGCTTTTGCAGTTTGCTTGCCATCATTTTTAAGCACAGTGTTTTTAAGTCTCGATGGCTTAGTACGGTAATGAATAATAAATTATTTCGAATTGTGCCCATGCAAGGGTACCCCTTGGTACATTTTTCATATGAAAAAAAAAATTAAATTTGAAATAAAGCGAAGCATCGTTTCTAATTAGCAAGACTGGAAAAGTGTTATAAGGGTTTGGTCTTAAAGGGCGTAAAAATTTCTGTTGTCATTACGATTGACGCGGAGGCATCGTTCGATTTCCTTTAGTTTTTTAAATTTGTGTGTATCATATAACATATTCATATAAGTGTTGTGCAAAGTGTTTGTGTTGGTTTGTTGTCATCGATTCAGCCAATGGATTATTTTAAGAAATAGAAACTTGTTACAAGGTAAAATTTATCTTCTATTCAAAAACCTGCTTTTTAATAAAATTTTATTCGTAAAACAGTATGAAAATGGGACAAGTTAAAATTTGTCCCATTTTTATTTAATATTAAGCAGTTTTGCGATGCTAAATTTCAGACTATTTGCAGAGAACTTACGTACTACGTTTTCTAGGAATATTTAAATTTTAAAACAGTCCTACATACTTAACAGCAATTTTTTTTCTACCTTGGGCATATAATAATACTTAGCAATTTTTTATGAATTGAAGTAACCTTTTACTATAATAGGTAAGATAATATTAAAATTAATTTAATTTTTTTGTATTAATGGCAATGAATATTCTGTTCTAGCCTCGAGCACTATTATTTATTATAAATAAAATTTTAGTATGACTAGAAAACTTTTTCATTCAAATATATTTACTAAAAAGTGCAATGTGCCAGAAGCTCTGATAGGGTATTGGGCATACATGATCTAATTATGCATCTGTCTTTTTTAAATCTTTATTTTAGGCAAGTTGATCTGCTTTTTGCTGTGACATCAACAGTTTTCAATTGTAAGAAAGAACATTTACTTACTATGTTATGCATTATGATGCAAGCAAGAAGTAATAATGCACAATAAAAAAAACAAAAGGAGTTGTCAGTCTGTTGAAAATTGCAAGCGTAACTTAACTATATGGCCATTACAGCAGTATACTAGTATAAATAATAAAAAGATTTTGATTGTTGGTAATGTAGTACCATGTTATGTAAATGTTTCTTGTATTATTAAAGCTATATTCACACTTCCTGTGTTCAATCTTAAACAGTAGCAACTTCTTAGTTGACAAGGTGCAAAATTAATTTAAAAAAAATCTTAGTATGAAAAATCTTAATAAGATTACAAATACTAATTAAAGCTTAGGCCTAAAAACAATAATAGAAATTGAAATTTATTCAACAGTTTACGCTAGTTAAAAGAAAGTTAGCTTGAAATTAGGAAAGTGTGCAAAAACTGTCTTAATTAAAGTGTTGTTGCTTGTGCTACTTTAATTTAGATAATTGTTCTATATCTGTTAAAATAGAATAGATAAATAAATGGTTCTATTATATCATTGTTAAAAAATTATTTAACACCAGTCAAAGCACTATTTGAGTGTAATCATGGGATAAGATTCAAGAGTCAATACTATGTGCTAGACTTTTGTTCATCCAACTGAAAAACTAAAGAATTGTTATTTTTCTTCGGATAATAAGTTACTAGATCTATTTAAACTTTTTCTAATGTCTAACTTACATCTAACATAATTAGTAGATAATGTAAGAGTTTCACTTTCACAATAAAGTTATTATTTTTAATATTTTTTGCTTTGATTTGTAAGGAAGATAAGGCTTTCAGAAAAACTACTAAAAAAACTGTTTTCTAAACAAACTTTTCATCTAGTTTAAAATAAAAATAGGCTTAAATCATTTTACTGATACATTATACAGAGAAAATGTGATTTCATATTTGTTATTTGTTATGCATATATATACAGTATATAAAATAGTAATAATAATTAACGGTCAATCGATTACGTCAGAACATTTCCTGATAATCTGAGCATTCCCCGACATATATATATATATTTAATTTCTGGTGTCGGGGTGTTTTTGTCCAAACGTCTGGGATTTGATGAAATTTGTGTGTTGAAGGGAATCTGGAAATTTTTTCAAAAATCACCCCAGATGAAATGCAGATACTCTTCCCCTTTTTGTATTATATAAAGTTTTTGAAGTCAAAAAAAAACAAAAATTTAGCTTATCTGCCCGTTATGCTAACAATTGAGAGCAATTAGTGAAGTAACAAGTAATTATGAATAACTGGGTCGCGTACGTAATCGCCAGTCTTAACTTTTAAGCCATCATCACAATGGGCTATACATGTATGCTGCGACTACAAAGCCATGCGATATGGTCGTGTTTACAACGTTATTAAGAGTGTACATTAAAAAGCTGTTAGTGGTAGTTGCAAAACTGGCAAAACAAGCAGTCTTTTTGTGAAAAAGATCCGGGCGCATCGGATTTGGTCATTTAAATATCATATCATATTATAAAGAAAGAAAAAGACTACACATACACAATATACAGGATATTTAGGTAAAATAAAGTGCACAAACCCCCACACTAGGATTCCCTGTATTGTGGGCTGGCTGCCCACAATACAGGGAATCCTAGGGTCTCTTCCTTTTGACATGTATAATGTATATGTATTTTAATTTATGATTACTACATAACATAAATTTATATTTAAACTATTTTTGCACAATAAGAATATTTTCTGTATCAGTATATCAGGTTGACAAGATATTGTTTGAGATTTTTAGTAAATGTATGTAATGTGAGTTTTGGAATGATAGTGATAATTTTGTTTTTAAGGAAGTGGTTAAAGATGAAAGGGCCTCGGAATGAGAAAAAGCGTTGGGCGAAGAAAGTGCGTTTTTTGGGTTGCTTATGCAGTTTCTCTTCTTAATAATAGATTTATTACCTCTGTAAAGACTTTTACATGACTTAAGAATCCTTTAAAGATATTACGTTAACTTAATTTTGAGTTTTAAATGGATCAGTAAATTAATTAAAATTTAATGAAACCACTGGCACTGGCGCATTGGTTTTTGGTCATTATAATTTCAACAGCACCGCTTTTACCAGGTACTGTAAGGACTTAAGAATTGTTTTAATAAAATTAAATTTTAATTAGTTCAAAAAATAAATCGTTAAGTTAAGTCTACAATTAGATATAATTTAATGAATTACTCTGTTTGTTGTTAGTACAACATAGTTACCGCAAGACCCAATGATGTTACTGTTTATAACAAAAAACTTTACGTTCTAATTGTTATACCTAACAGTAATAACAAGTCGATTCCCGTTCTAATCGACTTTTAGA